AATTGTTTTAACCAGCCTGTGCTTGCTTGAAAATTTGACGGCCCTCCAAGTTTTTTGTTGAATTAAACTGCTTTTTCACACAGAATTGGGCCAGAAATAGGTTCTCCCTGGAATCGTTTTTGAGTAAACCACTTATATACAGCGTCATCTAAATTCGTGTTCGAGGCAAGTTTCGAGTTCAAGAAGAATCAAACTGGGATATAAAGTTACCTATGCTCGTCTTTTGTTTTTTTATATCCGTAATGGTAGACTTACCAACTTGGTATTCATTGGATAACTTGGTTGCAGATTCGTCTTCCTCTAACCGTTTATTAATCTCGTATTTATCTTTCATAGAAAGGACAAACATGTTGTCCTGGTGACAACATGGTGTACGTTTAGGCATTTAAATCCAAAGTTTACTTTCAAGCGGCAAAATTTAGTTTATCGATTAGCGGTTACTTGGAATTGGGTTTAATGGTCTAAGCTTGGAAGTGACATACAAGTACAATTAACAGGTCAACAAGTGCGACAAGTACACGAGTACTGTAGCGCGGGAGGCGAGAGAGAGGCATGCGCGGGTCGGGCGGGTACCGGGCGTAGTAGTTTGGATAAGGGGTCACTCGGTTAAGTGACGTTCGGATAATCGACGCTCCACTGTATTTTTAAAATAATTGACTAATAAAACGAGCTAAATTTTTTTGGATATTTAATATTATTTTGATAAAATAATCAAAATAGATAAGTTAATATCCTAATACACAGAAAAAAATGACTACCGTAAAATGGGCTGAATAGAAAGGATTTCAACTTTTGAATCGAAATTTCAGTATGTTTTTAGCAAATTCCGAAGGTAGCAGTCATTGTGTCTTGTGAATTAAAGTGTAATAAACTGTTTTCAATTAAAGACTAATTTTCTCGTCATTTATATAATAAATTACAATATCTGCGCGTTTTCTATTTACCCGCGATATGGGTGAATGGATTCGAAAAGAGGGTTAATAGAAAAATTAAATTATACATTTAAATTATTTTTGGTTTCAAAGTTTAAAGGAAGAATAGATCTATGCTTTTATCATTTGTTGTTATCTTAAAAACTTTTCAAATTGCTTTGGTAGTCGTCTGATTACGGAGGTAAAAACGGGGCATTTTTTTTTAGGTTTTGGGAAAGTCATATTTATTTTTGTAATACTTTTTTTGAATAAAAGTAAATGACAGGGGCATACCTTCAATAGATTTAGAGTTTTATAAACAAAAACGATTACTCTAGAGGCATTATCCAGGAAGAAAATAGGGGAATGTATGAAAAAATGCAGCCCGTCTACCCTCTTAAGAGACGTCACAATCCCCATTCCGGAGCCTCTACCATGAGTTGTCGTTACGAAGACTCGATCATACGCATCGACCGCGTTTGGCGCTCTCATTGGTTAAGAGTTCTCACAAACTTGGAGCGGGCCAAAAACGTGGTCGATTTCGATGATCGAGTCTTCGTAATAACAACTCATGATAGAGGTTCTGAACTTTAATGCGCTTTACCAATGTCAAGTTTACCTCTAACGTGATACTAACGATGACTAAATATAATAATTATATGTTTATCTAGTAAAAATCCTTTTTAAATAAAAAATAAACGAACTTATAAAGTGAAAAATTCTTTCTATAAACGAGTACGTACTTGTGTATGTATATGCAAAAGAATCTAAATAAAATCAAAGTAAAATAAAGCGTATGTAAATTAATAAAATAATCATAAATATGAGTTAACATTTCTATTAATTATAGTATGTAGTACGTGAATTTATTATAATATTATTGGGAGCATTCCGTATGTATATATTAAGTGGGCCTATTATCATCTAGTAAGTCTTAGTATAGCCTCATCGTCTTTATAGTCCGGTCAATTTAGACATTCGAAGTTACATAAAGTCCCAACAAGCTGAATTTCTGTGAAATTGTTCAAAACATAATTATAAACAAAGTCTAGAAGTTCCCCATCATTCCCCTGTAAGGAAAAAATTTTATTCAAGGTCAAAGGTCAAAAGAATGAGTTTTTCGCGATTTTCAGCAAAACGGTAAGTTTTATCATAAAAGTACCTCAGACAAAAATTGTAGATCATAAAATTATCTATAAAAAATGTATTAATACTTTTTTTCTTACGAGCCACCGTTTCTGAGATATAACGATTCAAAAAGTTATAAAAGTTGTTATCGTCATAATATGCACACGTTTCCACGCCACCTATGAGGTAGTGTACTTAGCGCGTTTTTTTAACGTGGTTTCCCCAGTAGGCCTACTCCATGGGTCAGTTGTGATCCTGTTTAATGTAAAACTATTGCATAATAACGGAAATGTTCAAATATTGGGAAAGATAAAAGCGATGTAATTTAAAAAAAAGTGTTGAAGTTTATTCGTCTTATTCGTAAGTTTCAAATTCTTGTTCTTCTTCTTGATCTTCTTCTTCTGCTTCTCCTGCTTCTTCTTCATCTTCATTTTTGATGCAAGTAAATTGCGTCAATAGTGATGTATCGCATGATACTTCGTCGGAGTCAAACGAATCCTCCATTGTTTGTGATTCAATATTAGAGCACGACCGGCCTTGACAATTTGTGTATGCCAAAGAACAAGACAGTCCGACTTTTTTGCAACCACATTTAGCACTGCATCCCTTTTTGCAGTTGCAAAAAATAGTGTTCAGCAGTTTTTCCGGCGCAGGTGGAAGTAAAGTTTGAACTGGCTCTAATATATTGTTGACCAACTTCCAACCACCAGTAGGGTCTAGCTGATAACCAAGCCACACTTGAACTTGGTAAAATACTCGAAAAAGATGTTGGTGAGCAGCAACTGAGGTTGGAGGAAGACAAGCTAATTGAACTTGTTTTTTATTTTTAGTATTTTTAACGAAACATGCATATCGATGCTTATCTAAACAGGTAGTTTTTTTAGGAGCTCCGTACATAGAAAGAAGAAAGCGGATGCCGTTGGTAATAACTTCTTGTTGAGTTGAATTACTCTTTTTAAAAACTTCTGCACGTTTAATTAAATCTTGTTTTTCTAACATTTTGAAAACTGCTGTTTTACCCCTCCTGTAAAATGCAGATGTCGTATCACAGCCAGTTATTGAGTGTAAAAATATTACATGATCTTGACACTTTACAAAAGTAAATAAACTTTTTGATGAATATATATCTGATTGATGCTGAGCTTTTCCTGGTTTTAAGAAAAAAATAGTTTTTTCAGTTGGCGTTCGAGCAGTGAGTAATACAAGTAAGTCAACATCTTCACCAACAACAATAGTTGTATTTGTCAAATTGAATTGCTCTATTGCTGTTTCAATAATCAATACATCAGCATCATTATTAGCTTGTTTTACCAATATATTTTCAGCCGTAAACTTTTCTTTCAACGTTGAAATGAACCGAGACTTCTTGTGGGTATTTGTAAGAAATTTCTGTTGACTGGTTGGGACTGTCATAAGTTCGTCAAATAATCTAAATATTATATAAAATATAACAACTCTAGATGTATATACGTGGCGTACTAACAACTTTTATAACTTTTTGAATCGTTATATTTCAGAAACGGTGGCTGATAAGAAAAAAAGTATTGATACATTTTTTATAGATAATTTTATGATCTACAATTTTTGTCTGAGGTACTTTTATGATAAAACTTACCGTTTTGCTGAAAATCGCGAAAAACTCTTTTTTTGACCTTTGACCTTGAATAAAATTTTTTCCTTACAGGGGAATGATGGGAAACTTCTAGACTTTGTTAAATTATGTTTTGAACAATTTCACAGAAATTCAGCTTGTTGGGACTTTATGTAACTTCACTCTCATTTTTTGGTCTAAATTGACCGGACTATTATAATACTTGCTCGGTCTTGCAATCTTCTTTAAAATTATTAAAGGCGCTTCAGGGGAAACTTTTTTGTATTTCTTATCATAGGGTGAGTGGGGGGAAGATCGAACGGTTTTTTTGATGAGATGAGCAGTCTTGTGTTTGACGTCTTGTAGAACAGTACATATTAACTTAAGCTAAAATTATATCTATAGTGAATTCAGTACAAAAACATGTATGTAATCCCTGTTATAATTATTCGAAAGCAAAAAAAAAAAATAATTACAATGTTTTTATCGAAAGAAAAAACAGGGTGAAAGATGAAAGGATGGTGGGGAAAGATCGAAATAGTTTCCAAAATCGTTCAAATTAATATCAGACGATACTGACGGTCAGTAGGCTGCAATTTTATTTGTCCTGACTCTTCAGAACTGTCTATAATATCAAAACACCTTCAAAAAACACGGATAACACAAATTATTTGTTTTTTATATTTCAATCTTGTCCCGGCGAGTGAAATATTGTAATATAAAACGTAAACAATTAAATATTTCAAAATTAAACAGCTAAACAATTAATAAGATCTTAGCAGAATGCCATAACTAAAAACATAGAAAAACTTCTAAAAAATATTATTTATCTTCAATTTATACAAATAAAAAATGGGAGTGTCTGTTTGTAACATTAAAAAAACCAATTGGTAGAAAGATGATGTAGTAGGGAGTTACTTACGCTATTTTTGTTTTAGAAATACCTATTATTTACTTTAAAAAATTATTATTTTGCACGGGCCAAGTCGCAGGTACAGCTAGTAGATACTGGGCTTAACGTTGATAAAATATGTAAACGCAAATCTTGGTGAGAAAACTGTGAATCTACATGTGGAGGTAGGGAGTATTGTGTATTATTTACTGACGGATATTAAGACTGTCGATGTAAAGAATGGGGATTGTTTTTTTGCGCTTCTTCCTAGCGTTTGTATGCTCTTGGGTCGTATTTATCAATTGGAACCGTCTTAGATTTCAAAGGGTATATTCTTGCTTTTTTAAAGCCGTTCAATATTATTTCGTCTTTAGTATCGTTCCTAATTTTAGCAAAAAGACCAGAAAATACCCTTTCAGGCACTTTAACATCTGTATTTTGTCTTTGCCATTCCACTAATTTAGCGTCCCATCTACTTTTAAAAGACTTGAATACAGCTATGCAACGGTTGTAGGATATGGGATGTGTGAGGCGGTAATTTTAATTTCGTTACATTGCTTCGAATAGCTAATTCGACTACATTGAGATCAATGTGACTGCCGTGTCCGTCGTAAACTAGGAGGACTGGTCTTTCTTTTCCAAGGGCAGGGATAAACACTTTTTCTATATAATTATAAAATATTTGTGTATCCATCCATCCTCTTTGACTCTCGGCATAAGACAGCTCAAAATCGTATTTGCCCTCAGTTTGAGCTACCCATGAATCCCACACTTTCCCTTTAAATAAAAAAGGACTTATTTTCTTGACATTCGCACTAACAGCTGTTAATACAGTGATATTTTCTCTGCCAGTACCATGTGTAGTTCGAAAAGATGGGGTCCCCTTTTTTTCAACTACTTTTGTCTTTGAAGGGTCTAAACACACTGATGTTTCATCCAAGTTCCATATTAAATGTGGCTGTTGTTCCAAATTTAATTCCTTTAACGTTGACTCCAACATTGTGAAGTATTCATCTATAATAAAAGGATTAGTGTTGTTTTTTCTTGAATGTTCTAGAGACAGCTTTTTAAGCGAAAGCCTGTGTCGTTTACGGAAGTTTGTGAACCAATCTGGTCCTGGAATGTTATCTTGAAATGGGGTATTTATTTTATTCAATGGAACATAGCGTTCCACGAATAAAATGACTTATTTTCTAGATAGACCAAAAGCCCATTTTTTAAAACTTTTAGACCATTTGCTAATCTCGTTTCTGTTTCATGATCAAATACAGGAGGGCGTCCAAGTGTATCACTTTTAACACCGGTTTTTTATAACGATTGTGAAAGTAGCAATGGGTATTTTATAAAATTTTGCAGCGTCGTATAATGTCAGTTCCTTCCTTTTCACTTTCTCTACGGATTTAACCATATCTTCACGTAGAGATTTTCGGACGTAGTTACGTGGCATGGTGGTGTTTCTATATTGACAAAATGCATTTAATTTTTATTTATTCGGTACTAGATACGTAATAACATACTATATGTATATACAACACGTAATATAATTAACGCACTTCGAGAAAGTACTTTGTTCAGAATCGTTTACTGAATCGATTCCTATCATTTTTAATATAGGTAATTTTTTATTCCAAAAATAATTAAAACTACGTAAATTACAGTCACACTAAATCTGTACAGTCAAAACAAACTGAAATGGACCGTAACTTAAGGCAATAAAACTTTTAAGACCGCAGTTTTATTTATATTATTACTAATTCTGTCATTCAATAAAAATAAAGAAAAATGAACTTTATTTCAAGCACGTTAAAGTCTCTGCGTTCGTGGATTTGTTCTGTGACCACAACATTCTTCCGGAATTAGTATAACTAATTTGATAATCAGTGCATAAAAATGTCTAACTAAACATTCAGTGTATGTATTATGATTTTAACATATTATACTAATTGGGGTGTCTGAGGGTGAGCGTTAATTACGTTACATATTGTATATTAGGGCGCCCAAAAAAAAAAAACTATTATTTTCTTTTTAGTTCCTTATATAAATATATTAGTTTAGTAGTTATATATATAAGAGCCGTGGTAACTCAGATGGTTAGCGCTCGTTGTAAATTTCACAGTACGCGAGCAAACCGGGTTCGATCCCGCCGGCACCAATTAAATTGTTAATTGCAATTTTAAGTGCTGATTTACCAAGTGCTCGGCGGCGAAGGAAAACATCGTGAAGAAAACTGCATGTCGGAGAAATAAGAAAAAAAAATTTGAAGACATGTGAAGTTCGCCAACACGTATTGGGGCAGTGCGGCGGACACTTCTTTGCCCTAAAACCCTCTCAGAAATGAGGGGGAGGCCTGTGCCCAGCAGTGGGACGTATATAGGCTGTAACTTTATTTTACTTTTACTTTTAATATATATACCAGGGGTCGGCAAGTAGTTTTAGATAGGGTCCGGATAAACCTTGAAAATTTTTACATGGTCCAGAAAAAAACAACTGATAATAATTAAGTGTTACGCAGCTAGTTATTGTAGGAGTAAAATTCTGAATTATAAAATTGTAGAATTAATGTGAAAAATTGCATCGACGGTCTTGAGCTAGGTTTTTATAGTTTGGTTCTCGAGAAGAACAGCAAATTCGAAGAGTGTCTTCGAAGTGAGCGTCCGTTAATCTCGAACGATATTTGTTTTTCAAAAAAATTCATTTTTGAAAAAGATGTTTCGCATACGTATGTCGAACCAAACATAGTGGCCAAATTGATAGCAAGTTTTTTGCAATTTTCATATTTTACTGGGACATGTTTGACCCAAAATTCTTCAGTTGACACAGTTTTATATATTTGCAAAGACACATCTTCTTGCAGATCGATTATTTCCATTTGAAGACAGATTAAGCAACTTGGCAGCCACATCTGTCCATTCTGCTGCTACATCAACTTCAAAGGGTGACTTAAGAAAAAGAGACAGCTTGCCCATCTCTGCAAAGTCTTGGAATCTTGTGGCAAATTCGTTCCTAAGATCGGCCAAAAATGTTGTAAACACTGCAATGTCTTCTTCAGAGTTCTCCTTTTTATATTTCAAAATTGTCGGAAAATGAACAAATTCTTGTCTTGCAATATCTTTTTCAAAGATATCCAGCTTACGACGAAAAGCAGACACGCTTTATATCAGATCACATATTAATTTTCCATTTCCTTGTAACTCTGTGTTGAGCGCATTTAAATATTTCAAAATATCTTTTAGAAAAGCCACAACCAGCATATTGCTCTTATTTGTTACGAACTCAAGGTGCTTCTTAGCTCCCTGCGTATCTAAGTTTTGCAAGAAGGAGGTTACTTGTTCTTTTATTAGCCAAAAACGTTCAATAACTTGACCTTTACTTAGCCAACGAACATTGTTGTGTTGCAGTAAGTCAGAATACGCTGAATCACATTCAAAAAGAAACTCCTTGAAATGTCGGTGCTGAAGAGCAGAATGAGATCTCATAAAATTTACTAACTTCACTAAGCTGTCCATCACTTCTTTCAGTGTAGCGCTAAGTTTTCCACAAAGGGCTGCCTGGTGAATTATACACTGATATGATTTTAGGCCTGGATTTTTATCCCTAATTCTCTTTACTACACCTTTTTCTTTGCCAATCTTTGCTGGGGCCCCGTCAGTTGAAAGCGACACAATTTTATCGTAACTGATTTTAGATTTAGTAATAAATTCATCAATTACCTTGAATAAATCTTCTCCTCGAGTGTTACCATTAGAGGCAATATTGTTAGCAACTCTGCCCTAAAAGTTTTAGACTCAATGTCAAGAAATCTGACAAAAATTGACATTTGTTCATCATCAACAATGTTACATGACTCATCAAGTGCTATAGCGTAGCAAGGTGCCTTTTGCAGAAGTTCGCAAAGGGTGATTTTAATATCAGCAGCTAAAATTTTAGTTCTTCGCGTATTGCTTCTTGCTGATAATGGAATATTTTGAATTCCAGCGACAACATCTTTTTTTCTTCAAAAAGTGCCGTGACTGCTGCCAACATACATTCCTTCACTATCTCAGAATCCGAAAATGGTTTCTGGTGTTTATTAAGCGTCCAGCACACACGTAACGCTGCTTCTGTGGATTTTTCTTGGTCGCTCATGCAGCGAACTAGTAATTTTGTGCTTTTATTGTAAGAACGGAGATGTGCCTGAAGTTTTTCTTTACGAGCCTCACTGCCAAGAGGAAAGTTTTTGTGGAATTGCTGATGAGTCGTTTCATAGTGTCGCTTTAAATTTCCACTTTTAACAATAGCAACAGTTTTATTGCATATAAGGCACACTGGAACTGCTGGAGGCCTATCCGGCAGCGTAAAACAATATTGTTCAGTCCATTCTTCTAGAAACCTCCTATTTTCACTGTCCACTTTTCGCTTTTTAGGATCCATACCACGCTTAGGTACAAAAATATAATTTAATTAAACGAACGAAAACTCGACAAATCACAAAACAAATGAACTGTTGGTCCGCGATTTGCGCTGCGACTGACCGACTAGCAGTCTGCTTTCCTCCCGCCCGCACGCCCACACCCCCGATTCCGATACTCGCGCGCGCTGTTGCTAGTACATGCCGTCTCACTCTCGCTCGCGTGTTAACAATACCTGGCGACTCGCTAGGCCGCGATCAGTCGCAAGCTTGCAAATGGTCTTCTGAGGAGCCATACCACAGAACATATACAGTGTGTCCGGTCACGGACTAGCGATATTTTAGGACCAGGGATGGCGAACCTTTATGCGTATACGTGCCAATTTTCTGGAATAATATTTAATGACGTCGCAGCCGTGCCATCAAATATTCTTGACTTTGTGATCAGTGGAAAAATAATGTAAAAAAACAATATCAACTCAAAGCTCTATATTTACCAAAAATACAATTACAAGAGCAATTAAAAATTAGTGCGACTTCTGTTGTTGCAGATTGGACGATAATTGACTTATATTGGGGTTGTACGATGTTACTTTTAGCAGAATGCATGCTGAACTTGATTCATCAGTCAGTCTATTTCTAACAGAGTCTTTGATGTTATTCATCTCTGAAAACAATGACTCGCAGGCATATGTTGATGAAAATACAGTTAGAATAGCGTGAGCCAGCTTCTTTAAACAATTAAATGTTTCTGGCAACGCATTCCAGGTTTCTAAAATTTTATTATTGGCATCTTTACTTATATTACTGGTCAATCTTTCTGTTTCAATTAACTCTAATTCTTTTCTCATGTCTATGAATTTTTGTATCCAAATTGAACTAGATTGGAAATCAATCAGCTGCATTTCAAAATCTTCAATTTCCAACCAATCGAACTGGGAGAAGTTCAGTGTATGAAAGGTCGTTACATCTGGGTACATAATAAACTTGACCGTTTCTGATAATTCTTTGAACTGAGAAAATCTTGTTGAAAATTCCTTAATTGAAGAATCAATCACAGAGATAAATTTCTCAGTAATATTTTCTGCATTTGTTGTCTCATGTATATCAGATTCATTGATATATTTTTTCAAGTATGGAAAATACTTGTAGTTTTTTGCGATAATATCGTTTCTGAAAACTTGCAGTTTAGCCTCAAAGGCGCGAATGAGATCGATCATGACGATTATTGTTTTGTTTGTGCCTTGAAGCTTCACATTTAACGTATTTAAGTGTTGGCATATGTCTGTAAAAAACATCAATTTTGAAAGCCACATGACGTCCAAAAGCTGTGGGTATTGTTCAATTTTTCCCTCATTTTGCAGAAACAGTCTGATTTCTTCCAAGCATTCAACAAATCTTTCAAGTACAGACCCACGACTCAGCCACCGAACATTATTATACATGAGTAAGCCATTATACACGGAGTTGACTTCATCCAACAAAGCGTCGAACTTTCGCTTGTTTAAAGCCTGAGCAGAGATGAGGTTGACTATTTTCGTAACTACTGCCATAACATTATCAAGAGATGTTAAACCGCTCTTAGCGCATAAGGCTTGTTGGTGAATGATGCAGTGGAATTCAAGAATCGAATGTCCTACTTCAGTTTGAAATAAACTTATGAAACCAATTTTTTTACCCACCATACTCGGAGCACCATCAGTTGTTACAGAAACAACTTTTTTTATATCAATTTCTTTTTCAACTATCGAATTTTTAACTGCCGTACAAATATCTGCGCCCTTTGTAGTTGTTGGTAACGATTTTATCGCAATTAATTCCTCCTTAATGACGTTTCCTACGCAGTATCGAGCAAAAACAGCTAAACGTGCAGATTTTGTGACGTCAGTGCTTTCGTCGAGGCATAGCGATATAAATGAAGCAGAGTGAATGTCAAGCTTTTGTTGCTCTGTAACATTTTCAGCCAATTTTAAGATTCTTTCCTTTATTGTGTTTCTGGACAAAGGAGTATCTTTGATGCGCTGAATTATCTTATTTTTATTCTCGAAATCAGCAAAAAGAGAAGGCGCGCATGCTAACCAGGCTTCCTTTAAAAACTCGCCTTCTTGAAAGGGTTTACTATGCCGAGCAATGACATTTGCAGCCGTGTAACTTGCCGCACTTGTATGACAATTTTTGCCAACAAATTTATTTATTGATGTTGACTGTTTGTTTCTGTCTTTCAAAGCACTCGCAATTAATTCCTTTTGCTCTGCTTCGCTTTTTTGACAAATTGATTTGTGATTTGTTTCAAAATGCCGTTTAACGGAAGATGTTCTACATACCATGGTGCCAGAACATAAAACACACACTGCTTTGTCACCTTTATTAATCACGCCGAATTTATCAGTCCACCAAGTCTGAAATTCTCTAGTATCCTTGCTATTTTGCACTTTTAGTTTCTTTGCTGAACTAGCCATATTAAATTACAGCAAATAATAACTTAAATAAACTTTAAAGTTCACTTTCACAATGAAATTTAACTATTTTTTGCGTAAACAAACAATTTGCGCGGGCACTGCGCCTCGTTTGTTATTATTTACTCAAGTCAAGCCCCCGCGCTGCGTTCCCGCGCCCCGCGCCACCGCCGCATTCCCCGCGCTAGCATAGCAACTACGCCCCGCCTCCACCCCGCGCACCGGACCCGAACGCTCGCGCGCGTTTGCTTTTCAAAGATTCATAGGTATTATGCTACATCATAATCATAATTTATACTTTTTTCTTTAAACTCGTAATCAGTGACGTGCCGAAATTATTTCGTCGCGTGCCAGCAATGGCACGCGTGCCATTGGTTCGCCATCCCTGTTTTAGGTACTTATAGTACAGCTATTTTGATATAGAAATACACTACACACTGAGGTCTAATCCCCTCTCCCTCTATTTGGCAGCCATTTTGTTTTTTTCTTGAGATATTCTCTACGCGTTTACGAAAAAAGTCATATCTCTGAAAGTTTTAGTCTTACTGAGATAAAAATTAACTCATTCGGAGGCCAATAATATTGTTTATCGGTTACATTATCAAAATTTTTGTTGACATACTTGTAACTTTAAAGAAAAAAAATTTAACTTCAAATAAATATCAAAAAAATATGCTAATCGGCAAATTATTGTAAATTACTGCAAAAACAACCCCGTTCACCCTTTTTATTTTTATACTAGATCGACAGATTTTGAGTTAAGCTACAATGCAACATAAAGTTTACAGCTGTATGTTTATTACTTTAAGAATTATTGTTGTTTGAACATAGCATATGCCCAAATACAAAAGGCCTTTGTTAAGTGATAACTGGCACTGACTGCCTAGGAGTAATAGTGTTCTGTGCTGCCTGCTCTCAAATTATACTACTCATAAATGATGATTCTGATTCTCTGATCTCTAATTCATCATCTCTAATTCATCGAAGATCATAAGTAATCTCAGATTACTATTACTCCTAGGCAGGCAGTGCCAGCTGTCATTTAACAAAGGCCTTTTGTGTTTGCGCATATGCTATGTTCAAACAACAATAATTCTTAAAGTAATAAAGATACAGTTGTAAACTTTATGTTGTATTGTAGCTTAACTCAAAATCTGTAAATCTGAATATGGATTAGACCTCAGTGTGTAGTGTATTTTTATATTAAAATAGCTGTATTATAAGTACCTAAAATATCGCTAGTCCGTGACCGGACACACTGTATATATGTCTACAGTTCACATAAATGAGCAGGGTCGACAGGTGCGACACTACCCTCTCACAGAAAATCAGCGTGTAGTTAGCTTCTTAGAGGCTGCCATGTTTTGTCTAGTGAGTGAGAGTTCCGGATGCCCGTTCCTTTTCCCCTTTCCTTAAGGGCACCCAAATGTTGACGTTTGGTAGATAAACTGATGCGACGTTGCATTATTCCAGGAGCTGTGATGTTGCATTTACAAAAATAAAAATAAATACCTTTAGATAATATTAGCTGAAATTGTGCCGCTGACAATTTATATAATGGCTATAACAAAACAAAACATTTTTTCAGGTACACTTTGAAAACATGAGACCATTAGTATGACTTTTGAAAACGAGGCAAGATGGAAACTTTTATATGGTTATCTTACCCCGTCAAATATTGGCGGGTAAAGACGGAATGTTGCAATAAATACTAAAATAAAAAAGGGGCGATATTCAGACATAGCAACATAACTACCAATTCAAAATAATAAGTATGTATACTGTGGTGTGGGACGTAACAAAATGGCGGTCTTATGAAAGTTGCCTGCATTGGATAAATTACACAAAATCTGTCTTTATTGATGCCTTTTTGTGTTACCCCGTTTTTAATCTTCCTCCCACTCACCCTAACTAATATTGTTGCGAGTTTCTAAAAAGTTTTTATTTTCTATTATCTTTATTTTTTCTTTTTTCATCTTCGGTAAAGTTTCAGATATAACTTTTGTCACAGAATATTCTTCTTCGTTATTTTCTAATGGACAGTTTGATTCACCAACAGACTGACTGACGTTGTTTAGACCGGTTTCTATATTTTCAGCTGCTGTTGTAGGGTTTATTTAACAATACAGTTTTCAATAGTTGTTCTCCTCCACATTCCAAGTCATCTTCAAAATATACAGGCATATCTAAGACACTGTCATTGATGCTATATCATTTCGTTTTGTAAATACATTGCCTGTGCCCACATTTTTCTCTCTGATATATAACTCCTCCATCAACATGCTTGCCTTTCTTTTTGTCTTTTTATCGATCCCTTTTCCTTTAATACTTTTGTTTAAGTTTGTTGTTCCTTTAGGTAATAGATTTTCTTTTTCCACTGAATTATCTAGCTTTTTTATTTTTCTTTGTGGTTTTGATGTACTCGGACCTGGTGCTACTTTGAAGTCTACATAATCCTCAGTAGATTCGCTAACACTCTTTCCTGCCACCACTTCGAGTTTCCGCTTTCTTTTTCTTTTACGCCCATAGTACCATATCGCATGTCATTTAATAAAGTTAGTACAGACTCATCCACTGCTTCCCTATGTCTACTGCTATTGTTCGATTGTGTTGGTATTCGAGATAGCAATTGTGTAGCGCCTAAAAGATAGATACCAGTTTTTTTTTTAAACCGGCTTTTAAATTAGACTCAGCATTTTCTTGTATTACCTCCATTAATTTCTTCAGTAATTTAGGGAAGCAACCTTTTGGCACACTCGTCTCATTGCTGCCATATGTTTTTTTCCACTTAAGAAGTATTTGCCACCAGGCCGCCTTCATGGGCCTAAAAAAGGCTGCATCGAGAGGTTGAGTTATGTGTGTTGAATTACTTGGTAAAAATACAAAATCAATTTGCTGTTCTTTGCAAAGTTTAATCATATCAACCGACAAATGTGAAGATAAATTATCGCCTATTAGCAGCTTTTTTCCCGGCTTATCAGCGAAGAAGGGAATGATGGATTGCACCCAATCTTCAAAAATTGTACCATCGAACCATCGTGATGCCGAACGATTATACCTTGCACCTTTAGGCCCGTGAGAAATCCATGTATTATATAAATTTTGTACTTTGTATACCACGTATGGTGGTAAAATCTAGCCCTCTGCCGACCCAGTTATCAGTAAGGAAACACTCGCCTTTGTGAGGTTCATGACGCGTTCTGGATACTTAGTGTCGCGTTTCGTAATAATTTTTCTGCGCTCTGGATCGTCAGCGAGATTTGTCTTGTCATAATTGACGATATTTGCCGCTGGAACATCAGCCAAAGATATTTGTAGTTCTTCAAAATATTTCTGCTAACACGGCAGCTCGAGACCTCTTAATATTTTGGCATATTCGTTGAGAAATTTTATCTTTAAAAAACATTGGATAAAATCAGACCCGGGAAAATTATTTTTGAATCGCTTTTAAGTAATCCCAATCTTATTCAGATACATTTTTACAATATATCTTAAGTGTAGTGAGTCCAGTGGATAGCCTCATTCCACACAAACGTTTATGTATTGGATGATATATTCTTCAGTTTTCAACGAAAGTGCCCTTTGCCCACTATGCGATTTTACTAGTCCTTTGTTGTGGCGATACAACACTGATGCGTATTGTGTTTAATAGCTACTGTTTTTATCGAATCATTACCCATTGAAATAAATAATCTTCTACCGCTTGCTTATGAAGATTTTCGTCATACCTTTTATAGAGCTTGCCTCCAGGTTCAGGTTTATAAATGCGCGGCATTGTCCAAAATAATCTGAACAAACAAAATAAACATTTATTTTCAATACGAATGAAAATATAAACATAAACTAACTATTTCATAATACTACAGTCACAAGGTAGGTACCTACAATTTTCCATAAGTACACAAAAGGATCAGGTGCAATCTTGCGTATCAGCTCTAGCAATGACAATTCTAATTATCCCAGTCGTACTGCTACTCACCCCTCGTGCACTTCTATTCACTTTACGCGCTTCTATTTACCCCATACCTCAATTCTATCCACCCCTTAGGCGTCTTCTATTCACCCTAAACATATTCAATTTATAAGTAACATAAATTTTGGACTTATTTAGAACAGAAATCATGCTTAATTTGACTTACCTTTGAGTTTTCTCAGTAGTTAAGTAACTAACACTTTGCGTAAATTCGTATTGATGGCTGAATTCAATCATAGTAACGAACAGAAAAGTTTTACGCTTCTCAAATTCACAACCGTTACCCGATCACTTTAACACATTATTTTTCGCATTTATGAACGACGTCACTATCATGACGATGTTGCCATAACAGAATCAATGTTGCCGTATATAAAAAATCAAATATAGCTAATTTCCTTGAGCACTGTGAGAGCATTAATGCAACGAACAAAGTTTCACTTTTTTCTATTCCTCCCTTAAATTGTATTCACCCCATTTTGCGGTATGGATTGTCTTCGCTCTCAAAAATCGTCATTAAAAACTATGATTTTGCGTTTGCACTAAATAAAGATTTAATCCCTGGCTAATGTTTTAATGCCTTCGACACTTAATTTTTCTAATAACCATAAGCATGTATTAAGTAGGACAATTTTATTAACATTATATCAATGGGTTATTCCGTTTATATATATAAACGGAATAACCCATTTCAATAGTGAGATTCTTATTTATATACATAAAATAAAATATTAGAAGCAGAAATTTTTAGGATTCATCTGTAAACTCCTGTTCATCATTAAGCAACTTGGTAAACATGTTGCAAATAGTAAAAGATGACCAAATTCGTATATTTATAATAAGCTAACACGCCAATTTCGTTTGTTTATAATCCAAAGTTGCAAAGTTATCCCGTTTATTAATATTGTAAGTTTTATAAGATTTTATCCTATGTGATGTTGCATAAGTGTTATTACAAATGTAAATTAGTGCAATTGTTATTGATAAATAAAACAACAGATGAAAATTATAAATAGTTTTAATTGGTGAT